TTTCGTGCGCGCTGCTCTCAAGTATCTGGATCTGCGCTAGAGAATCTTCATATTTTTTGGTTCGAACCAGGCCATTCTCTTCCTAGGGCACCGCAAGCCAAGTAATACTGCAGTATAGAGTATACTGTATGCCATAAACCCTAAACCCTAAACCGTAAACCCTAAACCCTAAACATAAACAGAGTAACAGGCGGATGGATTTTACTGTTCAGGATCTCACTGTCGGCCTGGGAACCGGCCACCTGAAGACTGGAGCGCCCTGCAGGAGATGGGGCTTTTTGATACTAGTAGTCATACTTCTAATAACAACTTTTGGTAGTTTCCCTATATAAGGGGACCCTACCCCAAAATACTATAATCCTTATTATGGGGACCCCCAAAAAGGGAAACTACCATATAATAACAGCAGCAGACATACCGGTAAGAAGAATAGTAGCAAGAATAGAGGTATTAGAAGGAGTGGGAGTAATGGTGGTAGATGGTGGTAGCAAATAGTGGTAACAATGATAGCATCGTAGGACTGTGCGCAACGTTTTTTGTGGTGCACGCGTGGGGGTCCTGCCTACAGCGTGGAGGATTTGGTGTCCTGCTTGGTTTGTTGGCCTGAGACTCTTTTGTGGGAAGTGTTAGGTTTCAGGCGCCCTGCTTTGGTAGAGCCCTGAACGACTTGACCCTTTGCCCCTCCAGTGTTCCAGTTGGATAACCAAGCCGGAGATCCAGTACCCTGCGCGATGAACCGTCAGGAGCGAACGCCTGGCGAAGTACAACCAGCTGCTGCGAATCGAGGAGGACGCTGTAACAGAGTTGTGTTCGCCCATGATTTTTCCCAGAGCCAGGCCCGGGGTTGCAAGTCAGCAAGGAAGAGCAACTCAGAGTGTTTCTTCAGTATTAGCTGGAAACTTCGTTTTGGAGTTGCCCTTATCCTTCTCCCCTGAGCAAATACCAGGAATTTCGGCAATCCTCTATGCTTGCACTTGTGCTAAACCGGACAAATACCAGGAATTTCGGCAATCCTCTATGCTTGCACTCGTGCCAAACCGGAAGACATGGTATTTTCAACATTGTATAGAAGATGATGTCTCTTTTTCTATATATAACCCCAATACATACCCTGTTATAATAGAGTAGTTTCCATCTTCTTTTCCATTATCCCTATGATCCCCAATTTTATACCCCATACTCATTATATAACCCCAATATTACCCCTGTAACCGACCTATGAAACCCACATATAACCCATTATGGTAGCTTGCATTTTCTTTTTCGTAATCAATAAAACTCCAATCTATATGGTTTGGCAGTTTCCATTTTCGTTTCCATTATCCCAACATAACCCATATCTAACCCTTATATATTATCCCTATAATATAGCCCCAGTCTATATGGTTTGTGAGGAGTCTTCCCTGCCCTACTGCGGCACTCACTTCCGGGCTCCTTGGGCTATGTCAGGTGGAGGCTATGCCTGAGCTGCATCAAGGGAGTGACTCCGCAAGGATCCTAGGGGTCAGGGTTTAGAGGCCCTAGAGCTTAGGGTTTAGGGGATTTAGGGGATAGATGCATAAAGCTTCCACCAACAGAATAATGATTGGCATAAGATTTCTTTGGCCATCAGCATAGGCATTCCAAGTCGGAGCGAAAGCCAAGCTATTACAAGATATGGCGCTGGGATGCGCTGAGGCAAAGAGCAACAGCGAATAAAGAACAAGCATGAAGAGTGGGGTGTTTGGCAGCTGCCGGTACTGCCGCAGCAACAACGACCATAAGATCACGTTAGAACTGGTTGGCAAGAGAGTGAGTTACTGCCGGCATAGGTGTTTTGGGGCCTGCTTATAGGCTTATAGGGCTTCATGTGGAGTCAAAGCTTGCATCCACCATGTCTGGTGGCTTCCGAGAGCTCCCCTCGTAGACGTACAGCCGTATACGTTTTCTTCCTGTGGCAGAGGAAGCGTGACACTTTTGAGACCATTGCGGGTTGCACAGGCCGACACTGCACTGAGGTCCCCGCTTTTAACTCCACCTCAAGAAGCCATGGACCCAAACAGTAGCTCGGCTGTGAACAGTACAAGCCCCCAGCTTCGAAACTCAGACTTGCCAAGTTCTAGAGGGACAGTTGGTCTAGCTTTTGTCAACTTCTCTGACAAGTAGCTCCCGGAAGATGGATTAGAACCTTGTAATATATACTCTTATAAGGGTAGCTTTAAACTCGGGAGAAACCCTAAACTCTAATCCCCAAACCCCAAATCCTAAATAATATACATCACTTACCCTAATCCCTTAACCCCAAATCCTAACCCCTTAACTCTATAATATACATCACCTTGTGAAAAAAAGTATACGCAACATCGAGGTTTCAGGCCTACCTGGGCCCCAACAATAAGTGAAATACTGGCCCAAAACATTTAAATATAGCCCAAAAGGCAACTGTTCTACATACTTTTGGGGTATAGGATTCGCAACATCCTAGTATCCCCCTTAATAGCCCCATAATATACCCCTATATAATCCCCCATATAACCCCCCTTTAAGGAGCTTAGACTATAGGTTTCAGGCCTAAGGCTTAGCCATGCCTTGGCTGTACAGACGCGGCAAGTGAACACTGAGTACCACAATATGAGCAATCGTCTAAACTCTTTAGAGGCTGTGTGGGTTTAGGATTTAGGGTTTAGGATTTAGGGTGTAGGGTTAGGATTTAGGGTTCAGGGTCTAAACTCCTCAAAGGGGGCCTATACAGGGGATTGTATAAGGGGGATACTAGGAGTTTAGACTTTGGCTCTTTTGCGCTCGAATAGTTCTTTCGGGGTAGGTTTGCGCCGTCAAGTGGTGGGCAATAGCTTCGCGGGACAGGTTCAACCCTTACGTTCTCTTGCAACTTTTGAGTTTGGAAAAACGCAGGAACGACATTCCTGTACCCGTTGGAGCCATGGTGCCAGAGGGGAACTCCTGCTACAGTAGCAGAGCATCGCTTTACCAGTTGGGAAACAGAAGCTGCGTGGACAGTGCGTGCTTGAGCGGTCATGGAACCTCGGTTGACTGAAGAGCCAGATTTTGCTGTACACCGTTCTCTTTTTTAGTCCGTTATTGCCAGGGCGGATTTCAGGCATGGCTGGCCTGGCCTTTCCGAGATCGCATTTAAAACTTCAGTCAGAGGACTTCTCTTGCCTAAGCATAAGAGGCTTGGTGCTGCAGGGAACCCCCACAGTCAGACGGCGCCTTCATGCCAGAATTTTTGTGGGAGTGCTACAAAGATGGACTTAGCAGCCTGATGAGTACCCTTCTCTTCTTTGTGGCACAGGCTTGTCATATGAGCTGTATCAGCAGTTTCTGAGAGATTCTGAATCACTGCAGGGTCCCAAGCTGGCTCAAAGCAAGCCCGCTGGGTCCGAGCGCTCGCACAGTCAAAAGCCAGAAACGTATCGGCGTTATATGGGGTAATATAGGGGTTATAGGGGTATATGGGGGTTATATAGGGTTTCAGGGTTTAGGCTTTCATGTGCTTGGTATTTCATTAAACTTCTCTCGCACACCGCCTGTGCCATGCGCCTGGCTCGCGCTTCAAGCTCGAAAGCTGCAAGAGGCGCCCCCTTGCAGTCATGCCTCCGGCAATGTTGCTCAAACAAACATTCCATTATATCAAGAACTGGAAGCTCAGCAGCAAGCGTAGCATAACGTAGCAATCCGAGAAATCACAACTGTGTTCGTGCTAGCATTGAAGGTAGTAACGAGATGTGCAGCTATATCAAGGCTGGTCACCATTTCAACAGCACTGATGGCGGCTGGCTGTTGAGCCCTTTAGCTATTAAGCTAAGTGCTCAAAATCGGAGCTATTACCGTACGTAGACGCAGTAGTACGGATGATAATGACGATGGATGATGTA